GTTTCCATATGTTTTGATATGATTATGATTATGAATTTTCAATTGGGATTTACTTAGTATCGAGAGAACTTTGAGATGGAGGTTTTTTCGTATGTAGAGGTTAGGTCTCTAGTAGGAATCTCTTTGTCCCACATGTCCCCGTAGGAATGTCTTAATTGACGTAATGTAACACCTCAGACTTGAGAAAAAGAAAATGCAGCTTTCCGAACCTGGTGCAAGAACCACGAAAGCCACCGACGGTCCGTGGTCTGACACACGGTTCGTAGGTGGGGTCTGTCGTTGGGCAAAAAATATTTATGGTCTTTTACCCCACCCATGGTCGACCAGGACAGTCCGTGGTTGGACCTACAGACCGTAGGTGAGGGTCAGCAGCCAATTGGAAGGAATTGGTTGTTGGGTCAACTTCAAACAGTCACGTCTTTTAGCACAAAATGAATTAGGTGACCCATGGCCTATCAAATGAAAGATAATTGAATTTTCTTTCCAACGCCACCTAGTTTGCTAAAATCTCATCTCGGAGTAAGAATTTATGCTCATTTTAGTGAAGCCCTGTCGGGCAAAGCTTGACCGACAACCCCTACCGACGGTTGGTAGGTCAACCGACGTTTCGTAGGACCCTCCGTGGATGACCTTCGTTAGCTTTTAAGTTAGGGCCATTTAGGTCTTTTTCCTATGCATTGGGGCCCTTAAACTACGTTGTTTAATGCCTAAACTACATCATTTTACTCAGTTTAAGCCTAATAGCTTAGTCAGACATACCCAGAACCTTTATTCTCCAAAATTAGAGCAAAAAGAGAAGAAAAAGGCGCAAGCTTTCCCAAGAACAACCAACAAGTTTCCTTCAAGTTCCACCCCCAAAATTGAAGGATTTTTTCGTAGATTTCGTCACTAGGTATGTGTGATTTCAATAGTTGATTCCTTTCGTCCACTAGGTCCCTAGAATTCAGTCAGACTCTTGATTTCCTATATCTTGTTTAGACCTAGGGTTTCTATAAACTTTAGATATTTGTTGTGATTTAGTTGTTATAGTGTTCCTAATCGAATTATCATATTTTCTTGGAATCGTTGTTAAATTCCTTGTATGAAACTCAGAACCCTAGTTGTGTAGATTCTCTTAGTTCATGAATTACACTTGCTAGATCAGTAAAACAGATAATCATGCTTCAGTTTCGAATGTCACATTATCAGTATATAATTGTTACATTTTCTGATTTTGCATGTTAGTATTTTGAGCTATTCAACATTTCAGTATTTCAGTCATAATGTTTCATATACATAATCAGTTGGGAGTAGACTTAACACTGAGTTGGACTAGGGTTCAGCATACTTGTATAGTCCCAGAAATACGTGCCCCCGTAAGAGTATAAGTCCCCTATGATGGGCATCAGATTTAGTGATCACGCCAGTCATGGCTTTATATCCATGGCAATATATATTGGGTCCTCTCGATGGGGCGTATACATCGGACTCCACGTTTAGCTCACGTGGTTTTATGTCGGTTAATAGTAGCTCCCACTGTCAAACTCTAGTGCATTTGACCAGGTTTTCAGTTATACTTCAGTATTCAGTCTCAACATGTTATGTTAATAATCAGTACTTGGTTATTGCATTCAGTTCAATTCTTTTCAGTATATTTAAGTATTATTATTCTATTTAGATTATGTCCTTGCTCAGTTATGCTTTGTTCAGTTATATTTTGTTCAACTATTATCTATGTCATGCGTGCTCAATACATTCCAAGTACTGACGCATACTCTGCGCTACATCCTTTCATGATGTAGGTTCAGGTACACAGTATCCAGATCACGCATAGATCGATACTCGATCCGTATTCAGCAGCTTTAGTGGTGACTCATCATACTTCGAGGACAATAGACATGTTTTTCCTTTTAGTCTTTTATTCAGTTTTCAGTCTTGCTAGAGTTAGCTGGGGGCATGTCCTAGTAACTCTAGTCAGTTAGAGGCTTTTCATACATAGTACTAAAATCAACTTGACTTGTTAAGTTTATCTTTCAGTATTGTTAAACTCTTAGTATGTTTTTATACTTCAGACTAGTTGGGTATTCCCCACTTTCAGTTATCAATTGATTTAGCTTCCACATTAGTTCCTGTTTTCATTTAAATATCTTTCAGTATGCTTATGATATGCCAGCTTCAGGATTAGCTTGGGGTCACTCGTGATTCTAGGTCCCGTGTTACATCAAGAGGGTAGCCTCGAGGCGTGACACCTAAGCTAGTGGATCCACTTTAGCAATAATGAATGATACGAAGTCCTACTTTGTCAAGTCGATTCTTTATTTCGGTGAGAGGGTCATATCGAATTTCATGTTATAGCTCACATGGTCTTATTGTTGGTTAACGGTAAATATCCCACAAATGAACTATGTTTTTCTTCAAAAGTTTTTTCAAAGTTATTCCTATGATTTTCAAGATGCATCGACCTTGTATTCAATTTATGATTTCTCTTAAAGGCTTTTATACATTTTACTTGGTCATGTATATTATGTTTAAAGTACATCATATTGTCATCTCTACGTTTTTATGCATTTCCCCATACTTAGTACATTGATCGTACTAATGCATATTTGTGCCTATATTTTCTCATAATATAGGGTCTGGCATTTCTCCACACGCACGTGGCTAGTGGATTGATTCCATCTTGATTGGATTGGTGAATACTCATATTCCGAGGGTCATGCCACTTATGTTGCTTTATTTTCATGTCATTTCTAGTTCAGACTTACGTCGTGAGCTAGGGGTTTGTGCTATTCACATACTATGATAATAGAGGCTTATGTGAGACAAATGTTTCGGCTTATGAGTTGTACTCTTTTTTTTTTATCAATTATCATGATTGAGACTACTATTTTGTTTTTCTTAAATTCCTAGTATTGCTTATGTCAAGTGTCTTGTTTAGGGTCTTTCAGAATTTTATTCGACATGTCACGTCTAGGGCATAATTAGGTCATGACACATTATGTACAAATATTGATGTTGGTACAAATGTTGTTGGAGGTGATAGTGAAAAAAATGTATAACATTGAGTCAATGATTGTGTGGATATACATGTGTCAAACTCAGAGCTGCTATCTCTAAGTCGCAAAAAGGATAGAAGTTAAGATAAATCACGTGAAAAAAGAGTACTCACTAAGTCATTTGAATTATTCCATGATAAAAATAGAGATTATGTCGGCATGAAAGTATGAGAAAATGCAAGAGTAAAGTACGTCCAATGGAATATACCATGTGCGGGATGTCCAGTGTCCTAGATATGTTGAACCTTATAGAGTTATCCACATGATAGGGAATGTGGCCTATGAGTTAGAGTTAGTAAGAGTTCATCTTGTTTTTTTATGTATTGACGTTACGTAAATGCATAAAATATTCAATACATATTATGTCGCCTTAAAATGTTCAAATTTATGAGGAAATGACCTATACAGAGGTCCCAACAACTATTTTTGATCGTTAGGTCAGGAAGCTTATGACCAAAAAGGTTGCCTTAGTTAAAGTATTATAACAAAAGTAATAATGTCAAGGAGATGAATTGGGATGAAGAAGAAGAAACGATGGAGAAGTATCCTCAACAATTTACAATACTAATATGATATCGAGGTATGTATTTGATTAACCATTATCTTAAGTTAATGTTATGAATTTTTGAAAATATGTTAAAGTGAAGTTAACCCTCATTTGAGGAAGAATGTTTCTAAGGAGGGAAGAATGTAAACTCCATATATTTTAGAGTGACTAACTCACCAAGCTGAAAAAGTATGCGTCAAAAATTATTTTTTCCCACTTTACGCTATTTGATAATAAGTTGAGAGAATAAAATTTCAAAAGAATGATCATGATATGATATGAGTATACGAAGGTGACTAAAGAAAAAAATTAAAGTTTTGGGCCAAAGGAAGCTTGGTAACAAAAAATTCAATTTGAAGATTTTATTTCGGGGAAGTATTTCAATTTATCTTGTATATGGTCTGATTTGGGATGATCATATCTCCCAATTTATATGAAGTTAGAGGGTCAATATAACATGCATGCCAAGGTGGGCCCAAGTCGGTGAAATGGATATATATTGAGATTTCATCTTCAAAAAGTCATTTTATCGACAAATAGCTTTGTCCCAAGTATGAGAAAAGAGTCTTAGCTTTGCTTAGATCAAACTACTCCTTAGAGTTGGATAACTAGAGATTAGGAGTTTCATAAAAAATGTTCTACATGTTGAGCTCATTATTTCGACATAGTTTTCTCTGTGTTTTGTGTAGTGCTTTGAACAACAGGTTTTCAAGAAATTATTGGTATGTTGTCGTAGCTATAAGTTATTTTAAAAAGGTAAGAGTTCTTACACTTCTCTTAATCATTAATTTGAAGTTACACATTATTATCAAACAACGATTATCAATTTTGGAATTTTTTTCATTTTTTTTGGATTGTGGATTATTTTCGGTGGCTATGGGCTATATTATTATTTTTTATATATGTTGCAGCATTTTATTGAAATTATAAAGAGAATATCTTAGAGAATACTTTTGAGGTATGTACAAGCGTCCTTTTTTCATTTATCAAGAATGAATCTACATCGTTGATAGGACTAATATTCCTACATTTTAGATTCATATTGAGTCATGATATAGTGTTGTTCAAAGGTTTTAAATGCATGGTGAAAGTCAATAGTCATTTAAGTTGTTTAAAATAAATGAATGCGACGCAAATGACGATATATATACAATTGGTCATAGTTGTAAATTGAGTATGAAGACTCCTTATTGTGTGCACTATGAGCTCGTCCTATAATTGTTATGGCAATGAATTAGTTATGTATAAGAGTTCCATAGTTTCATGTGAATAAGGCAAAAGAATAAAGTACTATTTGTGTTCGTCGACATATATAATGAGAATCTAATTGTATAATTGTCAACACGTCTAAAGGAAGCATCTTATGAGCATGATATATATATACTTAGTGGCATCACCCAATTATTCAGAGAAGATTACATATATTTGGCATCTAAACATGCAGTCTTCTTGGGCTCTGCCCCCTGGAAATCAGTAAATGCTAGACAGACATTAAGGACTTCTTTTTCAATTCTAGTCACACCCTCTACAACAATTGATCTAGTCATGTATTCCTGATACTCCAAAGCTTGATCATATCTACCAAAGATAATGTATCGAAGAACCTTATGAGTTGTAGAGAGAGAAAGAGAAAGAGAGAAAGAGAGAAGAGAGTACCTTTAGAAGCAATTGACTTGTATGAATGGACTATACATTGCAAAGTTGAGCAATGTACAGTTCTAGCCTCAATTAATCCGCTAACTCTTGTAATCTTAACATCTGAAATAAAAAAGTTATATGCATTACCTGAAGATTGGAGCAACATCATTATTTGAAAACTAAAGTTTAGAACACACAAACTCACATATTCAAGAGTTTTTAACAATGCTGATTAATATGTTCACCTGATCAACAATGCAAGCATAACAGATTCCATGTAAGTGAGACGGAGGGAGGATGAGACAGCATTATGAGATAATGAATTTAGAAAGTCTTTTGAGGCAATGACTGACCAGTGAGCACTATTACACCACAAACAAATTCTATGCTGCATACTATGTTTGAGAAGCTGTTTACATATAAATTCAAACCGAAACTTGTTATTTTCCATGGGCTCTTGGAACATCAACAAGAAATAGACAAATGAAAAGAGAAGACAACAAGAAAGTTCAATAATTTCAAAGTCACCAGTCATATACGCTTCGTCCCAATTTATGTGGCACACTTGGAATTTCGAGGGTAAACCAAGTTTTTCTTTGACTGGAATTGTTTTATATGTCTTCTAAATAATTTAAGTTGTTAATCATTGTGATGTAAAGTACTCTTTTTACATAGTTTACAAATATATAAATTTTTATTTCAAAAAACTTAACGTTTGTATGTCTGAAATCACGGTCAAAATTTAGAAGTTTGAATCTCGAAAGTCAACTCTGCCATATAAATCGGGACAAAGGGAGGTATTGCTCGTTCACACTTAGAAGATGTTATGATTAAATTTCTGAAATTTAAATCCCATCTGTATTCTTGTTGAGTTATAGAATATGTATGCCACATATGGCATCAGTCATGAGTCACTCACAATTTTAGAATTAAACTATAAATATACTGCGTTGAAATATTTTAAAATTATAACATTTCACAGCTCGTGATAAACGAAAAACAATAACATAACGGTCGATAAATATTTCAACTCCCCAAAAAACTTACTTTGAAGCAAAACGATATCTCCAGCAACCAATGTGGAGGCCAATTGCTTGTTCCATATTGTAACAGGAAAAAATGGACGGGTATCGTCAGCCACCTGTATGTCGGTCCTTATGACCTCTGCTCCACCTTTTCTCCTCCATAGCTTGTACTGCAAAATTATATATGTGCTGAACTGAAAGTACCTAATTAAGCCATTAGATACAGAGGGAAAGAGAGAATACCTGAATTGGGGTGATATTGTGAACAAAAACGAGGAGTTGGACGTACTCGTCGATGTGACCTGCTGCTTTAGAGAGGTCGATTAGAGGACCATAACATACTATTGCCGCCATTTTCTTTCTCTCCTCTGGTTTTGCTTATGCTTTCTTACTTCTTCTCTTTTGGGCTTTTCATGACCCGACTTTCATTATCCCAGCCCGCTACTTGAGAAGGGTTGGGTTACGATTGTGGGCCCATTGGAAAACTTGTAGAAGTCCACTAGTTTAGAAGCTAAATAACATAGTTTGAAATATTACTTATTAGATTTTGATGCCTCCAGCACTTCAAGTACGTCCATACACATGTATTTCAATATATATGAAGTCAAAATTATGTATAATTTGTTCTATATACATTGTATCAAAGTGGATTCGCATGTAATTACATCAGATATATATATATATATATATATCTAATGTGCAGATCCTAAATGTTAGTGGATTATATAGAAATAGAAATATATGTTCTCTTGTTCAAGTTATACGCAAAGACGGTGAAATGTCTTTGAAACATCGTTCATAAGCAGGGGCGGACCTAGGTGGACCCTAGGGGGTTCACCCGGACCACCTCGTAAAAAAATGACACTATATAAATAAAGTCATATTCTGATTTTTTGGGTATATATATTAAAATGAACCCCTTGAACACAAAGTACACGTTTGTCTCAGTGGATAAGTGGTTCATGATATTTCCCTAGGTCATGGGTTCAAATCCCTTGGGCAACATTTTTCCCCTATTTTTTTTAATGCTTTGGAAAATGGAACTTTACGGCTTAGACCTTCTTCTTCTTTTTCATTATTTTTTCCTTTTATTCCATTTCTTCTTTTTAATTTGTTTTTGTTTAAATTTATTAGGCACATTCTTTTTATTTTTATTATTTTTACATCTATTATTCATGTTGTTTCAACGTAACTTTTTTTCATATACTAACTTGAAAATATCTTTTAAATATGATGAATTATATTTAACTTGAAATTGTGATAGAAATATAATATTTTTTTAAAATGTAAATTAGATGTCATTTAATGAAGAAACTTAAATATCGTTAACATCCTTTTAAAAATATTAATTTATAGAATTCAAGAAATTTATTGTATATTTTTAATTCTATTTTAGAAAGTTAAAAACTAAACTTATTTGATTTATTTGTTATTTGTCTTTTTTTACAAATTATGACTAACATAATAAATTGAACTATATGAACTAAAAAAATTGACAATGTTATTTATTTATCTTCTGAATATTCATTATAATATTAGAGACTCTATTCTTACAAACTTTTAGAGAATCTTGACGATTTTCATAGTATTATGTGATTGAATGGATACTAATTTAAAAATTTTTAAAAGTGAAAACTAAAGTAAAACATTACAAAATAAAAGTATAAAACACAAGAAATTTTAAGAATGCTCGAATGGAGCATTATAAAAGTAGAAAGAAATGTTTAATATGGTATAATAAAGTAAGTTAAATTTAGCATGATAAGGTAAATATCTTTCTTTCCCGTCTCGCTCCCTTTTTCATCATTTAATTTTCATGCATTTTAGGAATTAATTTATGTAATACAGTCGATCCGCTAAAATTCTTATCAATGTATCTTTGTCCTCGATATCTTTGGTTGGTTTAGTCTTTACTTCTATGAATCAATTAAATATTTATGATTCTTTTACAAAGAGCATGCCGAGGGGGCTACTACGCTCACCACACACTTGCATTACTACCTGAACTTCTTCTTTATACTTTGAACCCCTGAGCAAAAATCATGGGTCTGCCATTGTTCATAAGCCTACCAGAATTCTTGTGTAATTTAAACCTTCTTAGGTTGTTTAAGTTATTGAGTAGGTGTACTTACATGCTATTTGAAATCTTTATACGTTACATGTACATAGTTGCATTTCACGAGTCATGAAGATGCCTATTTAGGTCATAGTCTCAGAGTCAATATGTGTACCAGCTATATGTATTAGATAGACTCGATATGAGCCCAGTTATCTTTATATGTGTTAATGATTATGGCTTATTGATTTAACATTTCAAACACACCTCATCAAATTCTAGGTGTTCAACGATCATAAATCAGTATAAAATCCAACTATATGAGTTGGGGTCTAATCCCACAGGGAGCGGTACGTGTTTCAGATTCAATTAGAAAGTATGAATGCGGTCTAATTTGCCATAGGAATAAAAATTATAGAATAAAGACATCATTCAAATTGAGGGGTGACACGAATGTCAAATGAGGATTTTGGTTTTGATTAACAACTATAAACAGTCACAAACAATACGAATTAACAATAATGAGACAGATTCTTGGGATGTGATTGATTATAGGCAAATATAGACATATGGGTAATTGCAACTATTAGTAGATAGCTAGATATTAGTGAGTAGGCTAGACTATAAGGGAGGTAATTTTCTCTCGAACAATTACCCCGAATCAAGTGATTTCTCTTGAACATCAACAAGCATGCAAATTAAGAATAACCCACACCTTAATCCATTTACTCTTTCGAGCTAAATGTGTAGGAAAGGGTTTAGGATTCACTCTATCAAGCTAAACCCAGGTCATCCCAATATCCACAAACCATCAATCAAAAATCTTAGTTCTAAAACCTCTCTCTCGAGCAAGCCAATAACACAAACATAGAACTGCATTTGCAACTACAATTCTTAAATTAAACCACAATTAATGATTAAAATCACTTTTAAATGTCATTTAAACTAACAATTAGCAATACCCATAAACTAAATTAGCCCATAATCGCATGATCACATTCCAAGAATTGGGGTTTTAGCTAGACATTATAAAAAGGTAAAACCGTTACCAAATTAATTATTCATCAACTGGGTAAGAGTGATTTCGTCTTTACAATGCTTCAATTTGATGAATCTCAAAGACCCACTTCCAATTTCTTCAATCCTTCCAAGCTAAAGAAAACTCTCTCCAAGATTGTAGAACTCAATAATAATGACCAAGATAGATAAAAGATACTAATCTAAATGTTCAAAACGTATTTATAGTTGCCGAAAATAAGCTACGAAAGCTCCTTCGGTGAAGTAAGTCGGGTTCGCCGAACCACTCGGCGAGCCGCCCTTTGGTCTCTTTCATCGCCCTTTCTCCTTGGCATTCAACATCCTCAAGGTTTGTAACTTTGGGTGATCTATCCTGGCTTCGCGGAATCATTTGGAGATCTACCGACTGCTCCCTTTCCTCGCCGACTTGGTTCTTTCCTTCAGAACTTGGCACACTGGAACTTTAGGCGGTCTGATGAGCCACTCAGCAACACGCCAAGTGCTCTTGGCAATCCTCAGGCTCGCCCATCTTCATTTCTTCAGCCTGTTTTGTTCCTTTTTGCCTTTTACTGTCCTTGCTTTGTTCATTAATCCATATTCCTGAAAATCAAGGATTTAACATTAGTTATTGGCACAAAATAAGCATTTGAGGACACTAGATCTATATAAACAAAGCCCTAAATGAGTCCAAAACTCAAACTAATCAACATCCCCAACTTAAAATTTTGCTTGTCCTCAAGTAAAACTCAAGTTCAGCAGTTCAAAAGGGATGTCTCAAACAGTGCTACAAAAGACTCAATCATAAATGCATACAACAAGACTCAACTTACTTATGCAAGGATCAATTGTGCACTTAAAGATTCAAGTTGTGACTCATCATTATAAAAGATGCTCAAGTTCACAATACTAGCTTCAAATGCAAGTTCAAGTTCAACAAAGGTATTCAAATGCCCTCACAACATAGATGATTCCATATTCACACATAATTCTTGAACAATTTATAGTTTCGGAATCACATACGACTCTCACACTCACAAAGATGAACACATGCATGACTTCACCCTTAGGTTTGCCCTTATTTTCCAATCAACATTCGTTTCAGCTCACTCAAGATCACAAAGGTCTTTCAAGGCTTGTAACGGGGCTAAGAGGAGACATCCAACTTTTCATGTCCTCCAGTGAAGTTGTCTCAATCATACTCTGGTAGTCATCAACAATCTTCTATGTACACTCCAGAACTGCATTAATATCATCACCATCACATTTCACTTTCTTGCCCCTGACAACCACATAATCTATCGGCTTGAATATAGCGGCATTCCTCTTCCTTTGTGGCATTAGAGCTCCATAGGCAGCGTAAAACTCCCGGACCCAACTAGGAATATAAGAACACCGGGGTTTAGTGAAGATCTCAAACTTGCGGGCCTTTATAGTACGACATATATCTGGGTACTGGTCTATCACTCCATCCATAGACAACCTCTTCTCCTTAATGATGGTCCTCAGTCCCTTAGCCTTTAATATGTTCATAGATCGGGGACGAGGACCCTATGTAGATGGTGCTGGGACGACAGCCTAATCTGGAACGGGAGGAAGAGTAGTGACCTGGGGTGCCCTGATCTTAGACGGATCATTCAACCTTTTGAAGCGCATTTCATCTTTCCGAGCTAGCAGTAACTGATCATCCTCAGGCTCAGAAATGTCAGCCTGAAGGTCCTGGTTCTCACCCTCACTCTCAGAAGTGGTGAGGTAAGTGGCGTACACTCCATCACTATCGGAGCTGACCTCCGGTGACTCAGGAGCAGGTGTCTTTCCTTTTCCTTTACCATTCCCACCTGTGGTAGGAAGTTTTGTGGTTTTTGCTTTAGATGCAACTGCATCCTCATTGATAGTGATTCCATTTACCCTCTTGCGGGGTGACATGTCTCGTCCTGCTACTTTTGGTCTAGCCATATCTGCAAAACACATTGGAAGTAGTTAGAAACAGTTCAAGAAAAATGCAGAAAACAAGTTGCAGAAAGACTCGTTGAACTGCTCGGCGAGTCGCCGAGTCACTTTGGCAAGCCAGATCGGGATCGTCAAAAGGACTAGCTCAAAAATTACCCAGAAAAATGGTAGGTCAGCGATGTGCAGGGTCCTTCGGCAAATCACCGACATCACTCGGCGAGCTCAGACTTGCCCGCCGAAAGTTACAGTGTGTTTAAGGGGTTAGGGGCGTAGAAAAGGAGATCAATAGAGACTTTCAACGAGTCGCCGAGTGCACTCGATAAGCTCAGGCTTCCCGCCGAAAGTTACAGACTCAAACTCAACCAAAATACAAAATTAA